TTTGCAAAAAACAACAGAGGCTGATCAACAGCTCAGTGTGCTGGTTAACCATGAATAAATACACGGAATTCAGCCTATATCCTCTTTATTGTTCACCCAAGAATGTCTAATTAAGTTAAAAATCACTGCAGCTATCTCCTCTGGAAGACTTTGTGTTTATTTATGGGTCTACGAGATGCACAGAGAATGGTAACTATTCTCAGGTCTTACAATCTATTGCTGGGAGGTAAGGTCTTGCAGGAGAAAGAAGACAGGACTTAAGACGTGTTATAGGAGAAGCACATGAGTCCAACGTGTCAGGTGATGCTTGAAGGGTCTGTGTGTGTGTGTGTATGTGATGTGTGTGCATGTATGTGTGTGAGTGTACTCTGTGTAATGATGTAGTGTGTAGGTATTGGGGTTTAGTGGTGTGTTTGCATGTAACATGGTGTACATATATGTGTGGCCTGTATGGTGTGGTGCATGTGTGGGGTGTTTTTATATGTGTCACACCTAAGAAAGAAAACAGTACAAGTCATAAGGCAGGGGCTGGGGACAGTGACTCTTGTTGAGTCACTATTATGATTGTGAGCCTCCTGCCTGAATCCCTCCCACTCCCATAGGTGACAGCTCCTCTTCTGACCATGACTCCAGCAGAAGTGGCAAATGAGTTTGGCTCTTCCGGTGCCATACACACCCCAGCCCCACTTCGGTGTGCATTCTCCCTTTATTGCTTTTTAAGATTTATTTATTTATGCATTCAAGAACTGGGGTACAGACCAGAGGGGGTGGGGTGAAAGGATTCACCAGAGGGAGGGGAACACAACAGGCAGACTATTGAAATACATGCTCAGCAGGCGAGACAGGAGAGGTCTGCTGCACCATGTGGGTTTTCCCTGGTGGGCTGGGGATGAACTTGTGCTGTAGTGACTGGTGATAGCTTGATAGCACTGTCTTAACCCCGCGCCACCAGGCAGGCAGGCCTGCATTCCCCTTTTACCTGAGCAAAGTGTTCACCTCTCAGTTCCTTCACCTGATGAACAGAGGAAGATAATAAGTCCCACACCAGATGAGAGGCAATGAGTAACAGAATGTGCAGATCAAAATGAGCACATGGCAAATGTTAACGACTGTGTAGGTGAGTGAGATGGTTAATAATCTGACTTCTCTATTAGGAATTAAGATGGAACATTTGTATAATGTACCCAGGAAACAGGGAATGTACTGGGACGCCTAGGCTCTACACCTCCCCAAACGCAAGCATGTTTCTATGTCTTAAATCTGTCTGTAATCTCAAGGGCCACACTTGATGAGACTGTGCTGACCTCTCCCAGATATGACCAGTAATAACAACTGTAAACTGCAGTTCATGTTTGTCCAGTCGGCTTCAGCTCATGAGAACTTCTACCTGCAGTATCAGTGCATCCAGTGGAGCTGATGGGATGCCCAGGGTCATACAGTAAATGCCATGGATCCTGCTGTCACCTCCAGGCCCCAGTGAGTAAGGCTGGACCACATCTGCATACACTAAATGGCAAGATGTGCCCAGATAAGTACAGCAGTGGCTGGAGGGCCTTACTCCACCCTGGACGGGCCCCAGGGGGTAGGGTCTCTTTTCCAGGTCAGCACAGTATCTGCCCCCCACAGGAGCAAGGGTGAAATTGCACCTCTCTCTGTTCACTTTCCTGGCTGTAGAATTGAAAAAGATACCTCGTTTTATTCCAGTTGTCTTTTAAAAGCCATGAAAAACATTGTTGAGAAAAAAATAGCAAAAAAATAAATCAGAAAACAAAACAAAATAAATGTAAACTATAATAGACATCCTAATTTTAAATAAAGTGTGGAAACCTGCTAAGTCAGGGACCCGATTTATGCTCTGTCATGCAGTGATGTTCTTGCCAAGCTGGCAGTTTGCCTGGCAACAGTGGGCATAGCGAGTAGAGCCCATGCTCTAGGAAAGGGAAGAGAAACAGGCCCCTACACTTCTTCTCGAGATTCAGAGTGACTGCTGTTTCTGGGTAGGCCCCGACGGCCTGGGATTGCTACCTTGTGCAAGTTCCATGCACTGAGGGGATCGAGGGCCCTGAAATTAAAAAAAAAAAAAAAAAAAAAAGAATCCTGGTGAGGTTAGAAAGATAGGAAACATGGTAGCCGAAGAACTGGCCCAAGGGCAGAGGGTCAAAAGTACATCTAGGTCTGAGTTCTGAGCCTGGGTCTGAGTCTGGGCCTGGGCCTGCTTTGACAAGGCAGGCTTCTACAGGCCCCGGGGTGGCCAGGACACTGGTATGGCTGTAAGTCGTGCCAAAGACATCCTCAGACAGCCTAAGCCGGAGCCCCCAGGCAGCCTGCACCTGGTGTAGGAGGATGCCAGGAAGAGGGCATCCTGGTGGTTGGAGGATGCCAGCAGGAGGGCCTCCAGATTGGGGAGCATCATGACAGCAGTAGCAGCGGCAGTGGCCTCTGAGGGCCCCAGAGGGTCTCTGAGCTCTGTCTGTGTCTTGGCAGGACAGTGAGTGGTGAGTAATTTTTCCAGGTCTTCAGAAACACCTGCTGTTGGGCATTGAGATTCTCTGACCCAGGCGGACAGTATGGTGCCTGGCCCTGGAGTCTTTGGAAACACCTAAGAGCAGGGGAAGTCCTGGACATAACCAGTGGGAGGGTTTGGGTGCCATAGGGGTGAAAAGGACAGTTATGGGAGGCTCATGTGCTTCACTTTGAGATGCTAAAGGGGAGCATCAGTTATATTCCAGAACTGAAAGATGCACAGCCCAGCTGTATATGCATTTCATTACCTATATATACTCATCATGAAACAGACACTTGTTACTGTATACACCGGCATCAACTTTGCCAGCATATTTATTTGGGTTTTAAAGATCAGTTAGGACATGGTTGAGTTTCAAAGGATCATAATGTATATTAGGATTAAAAGTACATGTCAGTGAATTGCATTTATTTAATAAGTGTAGCATGCACACATTGTGTGCAACATTCATTCGTTTGTTTGCAGAACAGCTGCCCATCTCCCCATCACTGCTAGGACACACTTAGAATCACATTTCTTTTCTTAAAAATACTGAAGCAAGGTCCAGTATGAAGCCAGACAAGGCCAGCCCTGCATCCTCTCTATTCTCTCAGCATCATGCTCAACAGTGGGGTTTGGTTGGCAGTTGCTTAATCTTCCAGGCCAAAACGAACCATCAGACAATAGCATATACAATACCCGATGGCATTGTCGCAAAGAGTGTCAGAGATCTAAAACTTCATGGACGTGTATCATCTGCTCACCACTTCAGCGTGTGCCCACCGGGGTGGGTGGGTCCTCGAGGGCAGCCTAGTCTCACTTGGTCCCTACAGGTCCCTAGGTCTAAAATTGGCCTGGCACGGCCTTGGCAAACTATGCCTGTTTAGAGAAAGATGATAATAGTTGGAGAGGGTCCTGTAAGTAATCACTGGGAGAGGGGAAGCCTCTAGACTAGGAACCTCGAAGATGCAGTCTGCAGAGGCCTGCTTTGTCCCCAGCAGGTGTTGGGTTGCTTATTCGTCCAAAGAGCCAGCTGTTTTCTTGCTGGACATCAAGGTTATTATCAGGGGAACTTATGTTCATCCAGGACACTCACATCACCCTTGGGCCTCAGCAGAGCATCCCATGAACTCTCCTAACTTCCAGTCTTTCCCTCTTTGGGATCACTGTCCTTCCTGACCTCTGTCCAGCACATCAGGGGTCACTGCAGTCTCCGGCAAGCTCCCAGGCACCACAGTGCTACCTCTACTCACTCCTGCCTTGTCCTTCAGGATTTATTTGTCTACAAGTTTGTGCTATAAAAGGCAAAAATGTGAGTCATAGGTCTATGATGACCAAAACTGGTATGCTCATGCTAACAATTGTGTCCCTGGCTCATCAGTAGCAACCCTCCATGACAACACCACTCAGCCAGCAAAGGGACCCAGAATTCCCAAGGCAAGTTTATAGGACACGCTTCCCCATATCAGTCTAAATGCTGGTGGGAACAAAGTCATAGCATGTTTGGAGTAACCCAAAGCACAGATGCAGAAGTGTGTGTGTGATGTCCACCCGCCTTGCTCCTAGAGGTGCCTTGGGCCCCAGCACAGCTTCCCCTAAGCCAGGCCATCCTAGCCTTGCCTGGAAATTGTTTTCTCAAACTTGTACTGAGAAGATTTTGCCCAAAGAACCTCTCTTCACTCTGACCTCCTGCCTGTGGGTCCTCTTCCTTCCTCACTCCTGATATCTACTCTTACTTTTGTCTACTCAGACTTCCAGACAGAGTTCTCACTCACTGCCCCTTCAAGAGCAGAGATGTGGCAACTACAACCTTTTAGAGGGCTTCAGAAGAAGAGCTGAGAGTACCTGCCCACCTCCTGGGAGAATGAGGGCAAGGAAAGCAGTGCTCACAGGTGAGTCCACTGCAGAGTGAACATGTTGGGTTACTCAGAAATCCTGGAGGGCGAGCCTCAGTCACTGTGGGAGGCAGCCAGCACTTGCTGGCCTTCCAGAGGCTGATGTAGCAGAACACTCTGTGGGGACACGGGAAGATATGTGAATGCCAGATCTTGGCACCATAGGGGCACCAAATGAAGAGCACCAGGGCTGAACTCAAAGTACAGAATGGGAAACCAGGCTAGTTGCGTGGTTGAAACAGAACTTTTGGTTTCTATTTGTTCTTGGAGGA